TCCAGCCGGACTTGAACCGTTGACCTTGACTGTGGAGGGTATGGGAGCTTAACCGCTAAGCTATGGGACCCACACCCAGTAATATAGTAGTATTAGTACTATGCTAATATTAGTAATATGCTAGTATCAGTAGTATTAGTAGCAATATGGATTGTATTAGTACTATAGTAGTATCAGTAGTATTCATAAAAAAATAAAGTGCTTTTAGATAGCTGTTTTTTTTAAAAAAATGCAATATATTTTTTTTTCTATATAATTATATCAAGATTATATCTAATATATACTGTATATACTAAAAGATATAAAAAATAGAAAGGGTTTTAAAAAAATCAAATATTAGCTAGATAGCATATTTAAAAAAGATCTTAAAAAAAAATTATATTTTACTTTTAGATTCAAAGCCAAAATTAATGATTTTAGTAAAGAGTTGTTAGCTAAAATTTTAAAATATTTAGAGCAAAAGAAAAAGTTTTATCAAATCATTGCTATTATTAAAAATAAAATTAGCAAGATAAATGCAATCAATACTGGACTTAGATTCCAAATTACTTCTGAATAGATGTTCTGTAATAAGCTTGAAGTTAAACATTCTGCTAAAATAAAATTTCTTAAATCTTCAATTAAATTATTGAAAAAAGAAGTAACTTTGTTTCAGAAAGCTTTATTACTTAATAAGATCAAGATTCTTTCTCTTAAATCTAAAATAGATAAATTAAAAAGTAAGTTAAAGAACTTAAAACCAGATCTGATATTTTATAATTTTAATATAATAGGAGAAATGATAGAAGAGCCAGCTCAAATAAACTTATCTGATCTCAAAAAGGTTGATTTATCACAAAAGATTTCAGGTTGGGTTAGTAATAATCTAAAACTTCTTATTCACAAGTTTGGTCTTAAAGATAAAGTTATGAAATTTGATAAAAATTTTGCCAAAAAACATATATTAGAGACTTTGTAAGAGCTATTACTTTAGAATGAAATGGTTTTGAAAAATTAGAAAGTTACTCTATCTAATCAATCTGTTTATAGTCTATTAGCAAATTCTGAAAACTTTATTTTAAAGAAAGGAGTTGTGAAGCAATTAGGTGGTAAAGAAGTAGTACTATTATCTTAACTAATATCTTTAGCATCAGTAACTATTTCTGTTATTATTAACTCTCTAATGTCATCGATAGTATTATATTTCATACTTGCTTTTTTACTAATTGCAGTTATATAGTTTGTAGTTAAGAAATACTGAAATTTATCAAAAAAAAATAATACTGTCTATTCTCTTAACTAAAACTATTTTTAATTTCTTTGAACATATCTAAAACTAGGCTATATAATCAAAAACCAGAAGAGGTCACTTTATGACTAAATCAAATATAGAAATTAAAGTTAGCTGATATTATTGTATGAAAAAAAATATATATAAATAATATACAAAGAGTCTTAATGACTGAGTTTTCTTAATTGAAATTGCTTGACCTTGCTAAGAGCACCTAGAAAAATTATTATAAGTCTTTTATATATTTTTTAAGCCAGTTTTTTGTCATTCTCTAGAAATAATTATCAATCTGTTTTTCTCTTTTATCCATATTCTTGATTTGTATAATTTTATTTAATAGCAGTAGTTAAAACATATCATCTTTGTTATTGAAGCATATGCATATTCCTACTATTTGTTCTAAATAGTAGCTAATATCTATCTCTATATTAAACTTTTTTGTAATATTTGAACTTTATATAATCACTCTTTCTTGCTAATTTATGCTATTTTTTTTTATAATGAAGACTATTATTTACTACAATATAACTAAAGTGCTTGCCAGAGTCAAAGATCTTTATTTTTTTTCTCTATTTGTTATTCTTTTTCTTATCTGTTTTATAAAGATTTTATTGCATGCAAGACCTCTTTTGGCCTTTTATTTGAACATTACAATAAACTAATTAAAATTCTACTAACTAAATCTAACATCTCAAAAAACATCTTTAACAATTTCTTGAATTGGATGTGTGTTATCAATACCCATAGCCTCCTATATAATCTTTTCTCTAATAAATCTAAAAAGCTCAGAATTTTTCTGTTTTACAATATCAATTTCTTTTATAAAGAGATTATCTGATTTAAAGTTTACTTCATCTTTATGCTCAATTTTAAAGTACTTCTTTTTACTAATAAAACATACAAAAAATAATATCTTTTTATAAGTCATCTTATGATAAGATGTGTTATTTTTTATCCTAAGATAGGAATTAATCTGATTACACAACTTTTTTATTACATTTATAGTAATTTTAACTATTTCAGTTTAGTATACTTCTTTAGAAGTTTATTTCTAAAAAAGACTTTATCACTTTTTCAAAATACTTATCAGAACAGGTAAGATACAAAGAATCAGTATTTTCATATTTGATTTTAAAATCTTTTTTTTTTATATATTCTGCAACAAGTTTGATATTGTATTTGTCAGCAGAAATAGTTTCTCTAGCTAATGCACAGAGAAAGATTGAAGATAATTAGTTTCTAGCCTCTTTATAAAAAATATTCATAAATAGCTTAACAGCTTTTTGCTTTGAATTTAAGCAGTCATGTTTAAAGCAAAGTGATTTATATTCTAAATCTAACTTTTTAAGATTCTTTTATCTTTTTTTTTTACTGAACTTATTATTTTTTAAGATAATCCTTCTTTTTTTCTTAATAAAACAAGTTGTACTTTAAGTTCTAGTCTTATTGCAAATAATTCTTTTAATATAGTTGAGTATAAACCTTTTTTCTTAGATTAATTATTATGTCTTATACACTAACTTAAATAGTATACTTATTGAATAAAAAGTTAATCTTGTATAAAGTGTTTTTATTCTTTTTTATAATAACAGTCTTTTCTGAATTAAATATAAATTTTTTTGAAGAAAAGTTATAGGCAATAATAAGACTTAGATATAAAGATGCAAAATCCAAACCTGTTATTAGTCTTTTTGTTTTGATATCTTTTTTAGATAAAAAAATATATGTATTGAAATACTTATACTTTTTTATCTTTTCAGATATTCTTGTGCAAAATAGCATATTATGTTTAAAAGCATAAATACCTAAAAGGTTTCATATCTTTATTCTATTTGCATGATAGTATTGTTACAAAATAGATTATTAGCATAGCATAGTATATTATATTATTAATAATTATTATATATTCATTATTATATTTTATATTATATTTATTATTAGTTATTAGTATAATTATATTATAGTATATAGTAGTTAGATAATAGAATCTTAATTGGCTGTTAGAAGTGTAATACAGATACATGACATTGAGTAACATTTATGATGTCATTATTGTCTTACAAACTCCAAGTATTCTTATACAAGTTTCATATATTTTAGTACAATTTACTGTATCAAATACTACAGTACAAGAATCTCAAGTATTCTTAACACAATCTCTAAGTGTTTTTGCACAATCTTAAGTATCTTTAACACAATCTCTAAGTGTTCTGCATAATCTCAACTGTCCTTGTACAAACTCAAATACCTTGCCACAAGCTTCAAGTATTTTAAGTACAAATAACAAATACACATAAACAATGTTCCAACTATCTCTGTACAAACTTCACTTGCCTCTGCACAATTTCTACTATCCCAAGTACAGTATCAAGAGATGTCACTCAAACTCTTACTACTCTTACTAGGTAAAAAGATATATAAAGGATACCTTTTCTTCTTCTCTGCCAATTCTAAGTTCTATACTTTAATCTAGATATAATGACCTTTTAATTATAAAGTATGATATTCCTCTTCTAGAATAATTCCTATAAGCAAGGTTGTTACTATATGTGTTGTTAATAAAAAATTAATCTATATACTGTTATTATTTCGAACTGTTTGCCTGCTGCTATGTAGTAAAGTGAACTACTACATCTTCATTCCATATATATTTGCAATAGTTAATCACTATACTAGATGACCTTGTTACTTGGTTGTATTGTACTAAGAAGACTACAACCCTGTAACAGTATGTTGAATAAAGATATATAAGTTATAGAAATAACTTCTCTGTATTTATTTATTTAACTTAGCTTTACTAAAAGCTTCTAACAACACAGTACATTTATAATACAGTAATATGCTACTTTCTGTATTCTTACAGTTTATGATGAGAGGCTTTTTTTTGTCTCTAAATAGATTTTTTATACTTTATTATATAGCATGTCAATTTAGTGTTAAGTTTGCATTTTTGTAAGAAGAATTTAAGTGAGTCTTTCTTTTTAACTTCAGAATAAGGATAATACTTTTTGAGCCAAACTTTAATGTCAATTGGTATATATTCTAGCAGTTTAAGAAAGCTGAAAAAGAAATTATTTTCTGCAAAAATTTTGATCTTAATCAGACTACTTGGAAATTCTTTGACTTCTGTATCCTCTTTTTTATTCTCAAGAATGTAAAGAATATTTTTATTATTTGTGTTCTTATTATTTTTTTTTTTCTTTTTTCTTAAAAGTATTTTTAGATTTTGCTTCTATTTTTTTATTATATTTTCATTTTAGAATTTCTTTTTTTGTTTCAAACTTTTCTGTTATCTGCTTTTATATTCATTCAAGAATGTTGAGATAATAGGCTCTTTCTATTATGAAATGCCAATTATAGTCTAAATCATTAAATCCAACTTAAATGTCAGAAGCAAATGCTCTCTAGCAAAGAGTGAATGTCTTTAGCAGATTTTCTTGGTTTTTATATATAATTATGGTTTAGTATAAATCAGATTCTGTCTCAACATTAATGAGACATATTTGCTTTAGTAGTTTTGGATCATCTTTCCAATGCAATGTTATGCAAATTATAAAAACATTATAATTCAGATTAAGAATTTTTGCAAATTTACTTAACTCTTATAATTGTATTTCTATATCTCATATAAGAACAAGAGTACAATTCTTTTCAAGTGCTGAAATAGAAAAGTGATCAGTTATTGTAATAAGGTCTTTAACAGGTTAAAAATATTTTTTAAATAAATAAAATATGTAAGAGCAGAGAGAGTTAACCTTTTCTTTATATATATAATTGCCTAGCATAGACTATTCAGAAAATTGAATTCTATTTTTTCAAGCCATCTTATAATGAAATGAGTATGAATTATCTAAAACAGTTTCATAATTATTATTTTGAATGATCTTAATGGCTGTTTTTCTTTTACCAATACTATTTATATAGATTTTTAAATATAACTTTTTTTTCATATAATAATCTTGAAAAGAAAAAGCTTTAATATGCTCAATTTTTTGAGTCTTTACCTTTCCAAAGAGAATATTTCTTGCTTTCATTTTGCATTTATCCAAAGTCTCTTCATCTGGAATAAGAACATCAAAGAATAGTCAAATACTAAAAAGTATTATTACTACCTTTTGGTTATTAATAAGAAAACTATAAAGACAAAATATATCTTAATATTTTCTATTTATCTTTTTACTTAATACTTCATTATCAACAGACATGAAAGAGTTCTCTTTCTATTTGGCCAGAGCATTGTTAAAAATTGCAAATAATCTTACATTATTTTTTGCAACTATATCATACAAATTGAAATATCATTCAAATAGGTTTTATCAGAATAGCAAATTAGTTGGCCTATTCCAAAGAGACCCTTTCTAGTTTATCTTTTTTAGTCTTTAGACAAAAAAGAACAAAGCCATTAAGGAACTCTAAAAGCTTAGATTGGATCATGGTATTATATAACAAATATACAGTTTAAAAGAAAGTATATACTTCAAAAAAAAAAGTTTAAAATAAAAATTAATTCTAAAATATAATAAATTAATATATAATTAAATTATTCATAGTTATCAAAAATAGTATTTTATTGATGTCCATATATTTTTAGGACTAGAGAAGTTTGTAATTAGAAGTACTTCTATCCAAAAACAAAATTAATATTTTTTTCAAAAATTGTTTTTTTATATAAATTAATTTAAAATAAGATTAAAATTATTTTTTACTTAAAACTTAAAAGTAGTTGTATTAATAAAATTTTGTAATATAACTTTTTAAAGTTTGCATTTTCTTATAATTTATTATAAGATTTATAATATATAAATTGATTTTCTAAAGATCTTTTTTTTTGTCAATTTTGTTTCTTTTCTTAGCACTTAGCCCATATATGCTTTATATTAAATATGATAAATAAACTTATTTCAAATATGAATTTTGTGATTCACATACTAAAAAGTATTATAAAAGAGAACAGTATTATTAGAAAAAACTAGCTAAGTAAGTTGAGAATATATTTTAGCAAACTGTTTTAGAAAATCTGTTCTAGTTTTCATTCTAGTTGTCAAAATTTTTTAAAACAGATAAAATATAACTAAATAGTAATTTTAAGATGAATGAAAGAAAAAAAAATAGTTTATTTTAGTTGTTTTAGTTGTTTTAGCAAATTTCAAACTTTTTTATTTTTTTATTTTTATTTTTTATAAGAATATGTTACCAAAAGATGAATTACATTTTTTTTTAGAATTTTTATTTTTACTAAAACAACTAGAACATAATATAAAAAGAACAAGTTAAATTAAAGAAAAAGTTTTTCTTTTATAATAAAATCTGTTCTAGTCCCATTCTAGTTGTTATAATAATCAGAACAAACTATTTATAATCAAATTTTCATAAAGATACCCAAAAAATTCACATACATACTGCCTTTGCTCTAAAGATTATATCAAAAATTAGCATAATGTTAGCCAAAATTTGATTAGCAAATTTATTGTGCCACTTATTATCTTTTTTTTACACTATTTTAGCAACTAGAAAGACAACCAAATAAGTGTAAATTCTTAATATAGAACTAGTATTCAAATCAGCATAAAGGGTCAGCACTCTTATTATAAATCCAGGTGTTTAAAAAAGACTGAAAAGTCAGAATCAACAATATAAATTTTATTATGTAAACAGATTAAAAACAAGAAGCAAAAAGTCACTATTAGATCATAACATTATCATTAAATTAAAACACTACCAGTTACTATTAGACTATAAAATTACTATTATATTATACAGAAAACAGTTGAAACAATACTATAAACACAAAGAAGCTACCCATAAGTAGGTTATGAAATCACTATCAGATTATAGATAGTAAGTTATAAGATTACCATCAGATTATAAAATTAGATTATAATATTACCATTATATTATAAAGATACTAGCAAACTATGAAGTTACTATTATATTATAAAGATACCAGTAGACTATGAAGTTACTTTCACAACCTAATCTAAGTCACATGCAACTTCATAATATAATTATATTATGAAGTTACATACGACTCTTCCTTATAATATCTTCCACTATGCTTCAAATAATTAGCTCAGAGTTCTAGTAAACACTCTAAAAAGTAATAATACATATATTGTATTTAATTAAAAAAGTAAAATTCTATTATTATTATTATATTAAACCAATTTAATATTTCAACACTTTTATTGCATATATATATATACGTAATTTAATATTTTTGGTATAAAGTTTTGATAATGATAATTCGTATTTGTTAATATCCAATCACAAAGAAAACCTGTTATACACCTATATGGTTATAAGGAATACATTTAAAAAATCTGATGATCATTCTGATTTAGATTAACGGTTAGAACGCGTGGTCATAATGTTTCTACGGAAATAAGTGATATTCGACTCCAGCTGTGTACAATGTGATGCCCGTAAACCAGAGGCACATTTTGAAAAAATCGGAAGGTGACTTTGCGCAGATATTTTTTTTTGTACGTATAATCCCTTGATCACTATATCAAGATCATGGAATGATTAATTAATGTTGCGAATCATCACTTATACTTATTCTGAACAATTACTGTACATAAAGTCGGGCAATCAATGTGTTAAGGTAATCGAGTGTATGAGTGTTCGAGTGTACGCCAAAAAAAAAATTTATTTGCCATTTCAATCATTTTAAAAACAGTGATAATAAAGCTTTTGAGTTATTCGTATATGAAGTTACAATTATTCTTTATTAATGAATAACACCAATCCATGATGTAATTTTATACATTTCAGATCTTTGCGGCTAATCTAGAAATCACTTGCTAACATTAATTCTATGATCAATAACAATATGAATAACAGAGAAATAAAGAGATAACTGGATTATAGTATATAAAGAAATAGTAAGAAGAATGGGGATAATTAACGACTGCTGAATGTCAATCGAGGGTCTTGGTCCCGTGTTTTTACGAATATACCGATCCCGTGACGTAACTTTCATGGTAACAATACCTATTCTGCGCTTTTCTAGTTTTTTTTTTGTATAGAATGTTCCAACTGGACAGGTCAAAATGCATTCCAATTGCGACTCGCGTCATTTTGTTCGGATTCAAGGCTTGATTTTATTAAGATTCAACTCAGAGTCTGATCAAATTTGATTTGAGTCGAATTGTGCTTATTCCTACTTTTTTTTAAAGTTTTACCAATTTATATAAATGATACTGTAAAATCAACAATTTTAACAAAAAAAATGGAATTATTTCATCGATCGAGCTTGAAGATTATATTTCAAAATTCCCAATGAACAAACATGTTATTGGTTAGATGATCTAGTCTATCGCTGTGAGAGATTTGAAGCTTAAACGTTAAGCTATAAAATTCCAACTTTTATTTTTATATTTTTTTTTTGCTTTTAAAAAACAATGAATGTCGTGGCTAAAACTAAAACTTTCCTATTTTATTCTAAAAACTTTAATTTTTGGGGTGCATTTCTTTTTTTGAGTTATCATTGTTAATAAAAAAAAAATATAGGTAGGCTTTAGTAGATTTGATAAATCTAAATAGAACTCCAAATTTTCAGTGAATTTTAGCTTCGGAATCCATAATAATGATAAGTTTATTTATTAAACATAAGTAAATTTTAATTTGATGTTAACCAATTTTAAATTACGAATTAACATAAGTCAATTAAAAGAGCTTTGACGCACAACGAATTTGTGTAAAATAGATGTTAACCTTCTAGTTCATTGTATCCAGAGTTTGATATAGAGAGATGATTGTATTATATAGAATTTTATCGGTGTCAAGTATCTGTTTTTTTTTTTCATGTTTGTAAGTTTTATATGGCCTCACCATATTTGCTATGACTTTTTAAAAATGAATTGGTTTGCAATTAACTTATTGAGGCAGTATCAAGGGTTTTACGATCCATGTAAACTTTTTGAACGATCACAACAGCAAAATAGTAAAAAAAAAAAAAACGGAAAAGGATACACTCTTCAATCATTTCGAAGATAGTCATTTTAGTGACTTGCATTCAGTAAATTGATAGCTGTTTTTCTACTTTATTTCAGATATCCTCTGACCATCTGATAAAGACAAAATAATTGAACTATTTTATTTTACATCGGACACTCTAATGGGCGCCCGCACCTTGTTTTGCATAATGATCAATAACCCGTTCTAGATCGAAGTTGGGATCGTTCGGATCCGTTACGACTATTTTTTTTTTTTTTTAATAAAAACAAGAAAAGATACATTATATAATTAAATTTTAATGTGAACACATTACTAAAATAGATTATATATAATTCATGATTCAATTTAATTCTTGTTTTTGAAGTAAAAACCCAAGGATTCTTCATATTTTTTCCACTTATCAAGAAAATAAAAAATAAAAAATACCGTCGGTAGTAGTTTTTTTAGGAGTATAATAAGCAGCCTTTGCTTTATTAATTAATTCTTCTTTATGGCGATATCTGATTGCGGCACTTTCTTTTTCTGCAGATTTCTTTAGTGAACTGGAATGCCATAAACCATAGACAACTCCAAAAGTCAATGCGGTCCATCGAGCAACCTGTATTTTATTTATTTATTTTATTCCCAAAGCATTGGCATTCGAGCTCATGTTTACGAAAAGGTAGTATTTGGGATACTTTTGATTATCTAGCCAATAACATAACAATTAAAAGCACTTACATTAAGATTTATTGAAGCAGCCATCATTTATGTAAAAGATGCTGCTGTAAATCACGGTCTAAAGTACCCCAGTAAATAGTTATCGGTTAATGCGGACACTTCGATGGTGCATATCTTTATGTGTACGACACAAATATGTGAAAATCAAAAAAATATATTTTTTTTTTTAAAAAAAAAAAAAAATAGAACGCAATTTCACAGGGTCCATTCTTTTTGATTTAATAAAAGAAGGTCACTTATTTATTAGGGTTAAGAGGGATTAAACCATATCTGATATAGGATAGTATTGAAAAAGTGGACCATTTTTTATGAATCAAAAAGCATGGATCCTGTGAATCAAAAAGAATGGGTTTGCTTTTATTGGCTAGATTTTGTTATCTATCGTCGAGATCATATTTTTAAAAAATAGATGTGCTTATCGTACGTACGTACGGGGGTGACGACTGTAGGTACTGTACGTATTAAAAATTCCAGAATAAGAATTCTTGCTAAATTTCCACGAACAAATTTAAATATTTGAAACAAAAAAACATGTCAAACATCGAAATAATTCTGTAATTATGATTATAGAAAATAAGTTCAATGCTTTTTATACAGTATATAAATCAGTATATAGAAATAATCAACCAATAAAAATGAACTTTCTCATGCTCGAACTGAATTTCTTGGTTTAAATCCAAGATTATTAAAAAAATTTTTAATATCTACTTAACAATGTCTTCTAATGATTTTGAAAGCGTACTTTCGAAATTTAAAGTACTCAACAGAGAACAGCGGAAATTTTTGTAAGTAAACAGTACTTAAATGTAATGAGACTAAAATAATTATTGAGGTTTTTGATTTTTTTTTGTATACTAGTTTAACTGCATTAGTTGAAGACTGTACTCCGCATGAACTTTATACATTACAACAAACTTTACGAATCAAGAACTATGGTGGCTTTGATATTGTTGGAACTTTACCTTTTGAACTATCTGTGAAAATTTTTGAATATCTTGATTGTAAAGATTTATGCAGTTGTCGAGAGGTATGTAAAAAGAATATAGAAACAACTTTACTCAAATCTTTATCTTTTAACCTTTTTCTATTATATATTATCAAGGTAAACCAAAAATGGAGAAGCATCACAAAAGATTCCACTATTTGGAGGACTAAATGTTTAGAAATGCTTTATAATGATAAAGGATCAATTACAGCAGACGACATAAAAAATATTCCAAAAGAAGGATGGGAAAAATTGTATAGCAAATTATATCGACGAGAAGTTAACTGGAACAATGGAAGAGTTCAAAGGCTTAGATTTCTAAAGGGACATAAGGATCGTATAACTGATTCAAAATTAAAAGGTAATATTCTTGTCACTGGGTCAGCGGATAGAACGGTGCGAATTTGGAATGTTGATACTGGTCAATGTGAACATGTATTTTCTGGAAATGTTTTTAGTTGTGTTGATTTTTTACCTGAAGAGAAGATCATAGCTGCTTCTACTTATTTCCGGTAAGGATATTACATAATTGATAATATACTTTTCCAAAAATTCCGGAGGTAACTAGTTAAATATTATTATTTTTTTTTTTAGGTCTTCTTTTCTTTGGAGCATGGAAACTAAAGAATTGTTGGGCGAGTTTAATGGTCATGTGAGCGCTGTAAGATGCATCAGTTTGTCGAAATCTTTTATTGCATCTTGCGCTTTTGATGGGAGTGTAATTGTTTGGAACTGGAAATCTGGCGAGAAAATTGCAACGATACCAGCAGATGTAAGTTTTTTTGTTTTTTTTTTTGGTTAATTCATAAACAAATAAGCATCAGTATTTAATATTTTACGTTAATTTTGAAGTCGATTGCAGTTCGAATATTTGATACTACAATTTTATCACTTAGTAGTCAAAAAATCGAAGCATTTGATATAAATGATGGAAAATGTATTTTTTCATCACCATTTGAAGAAGGGTTGGTGGGCTGGTCGTATATTCAGAATTATTTATCATCAATAGAAAACCCAGATGATGGAATTTATGAACAAATGCTATCATCATTGTCTGTAGTTAAGAGATTAAGCGATTATTTTTCGGTTCGTGTATTTGATTTCGATACGCGTAAAAGTAGATTTGTGCGTATAGATGGGCAAAGTCCATCAGCTGTTTTATGGCTGGCCTTATTCGACCATAATTACAAGTCAAAAAGAATAGAATATCCTTGTAATGAAAATACTACAGGTTTAGATATTAGCAAGGAAATCTTTAGAACCATTAACGTGGACTGCCATCGTATTGTAGCTGGATGTTTAAGTGGAATTATTGTTCTTTTAGAGTTTGATGAAAATTAACGCATGCTGTAAATCTACCAACAAGTATGCCAATTTTTCCGTGGAGAATGTCTGAGTCTCTTTCAGTCTAAATCGGTCTAGTTTTTTTGATTTATATATACTGGTACATTGTATAGCAGAGGATACTATATGAGTAGTCTCCCGAGTTCTAATTGGACGTATCTCTAATTGAACGAAGTAAATTCTCCAATACGTATATCAAAGAAACTGCCTTACTAGTTCACACATATAAATATTCTTTTTTTAATTATAAAGAGAAATTTAAAATTAAAAATTATGTATTTTAAACGTAATAACAATGTAATTTTGCATTTGTGATAGTAAAAGTAACCGAAGATACTATCAATTGTTCAAATAAAATTTTTCAAAAATGTTGATCCACATTTTACATGTTTTCATAGCGTTAAAATTAGTCAATTCTCTTTATAACGTGCACTTAAATTTTGAATAAAAATAATCTTTAATTTAAGCCTTACGCATTAAAATTTGGAAAATTAAATGCTTACTTGTATGAGTGACACAAAAATTAGGACTTGAGTTTGAAGTTATAGGAATAAATTATATATCGATTTCCGTATGTAGTAGGTTTGAACACTCGTTACTATTTTTGGTTTGTATTACTTGCACCAGTAAGTATTTCTGTACAAAAAAAAAAACAAAAAAAAAAAAGAGAAGATATTCTTTTGATTTCCGCATCGGGGAATCGAACCCCGGCCGTCGCGGTGAAAGCGCGAAATCCTAGCCACTAGACCAATGCGGATTTATTATTTATTTAAGTTGAACTGAGCATATAACTATAAGTTCAATTTCCTATTTGGAAGTACCAAAACCCGTTCATATGTTAAATACCAATAAGATATCTTACATTTTTTTTAGTACAAGAGAAGTTCATTTGAACCTATAGAAAATTCAAATTTTTTGAACCTATATATTTGCAAATAAAAGTTGTAATTTGATAATAATTAAAAGGTTTTTTTTTTTTTATTATACGGCATCATTAAAAATATGATCTAAATACTAAGAATTGAATTACCAACAATTAATAACAATAAAACCTTCATAACTTTCGTTAAATTCATTGTAGTATGATCGTCCAAACAAAATTTAGTTTAGGTTAAAGTTGAAAAAAGACTAGTAAAATTATATAAGAAAAATATTTATTAGTTATCAGAACACGAAAGGTATATACATAGGATTTGGAAAATCGATTCGACGTACTAGTGTTAATACCAGGAGGACCTTCTTCAGGGTAACTTATTTATATACGTACTATATAGTTAATACTTGAATTTATTCAATTATATTGGATCCTTTGTAGTGATGTCCCAATGAATTTTTTTGAGGTACGACCGGTTACGGTTACGGCAAAATCCGTATGAATCCCAATGTGCCGTAATAATAATTAAATAATAAAAATGAAATTTTGTATAGGCAAGTTACCGAAAAATACAAAATTTTGAGATGCATTTTTTTTTGCTTTTTTTTAGGGTTAAGGGACAGCTTTAGGGGTAGAATTTATAATAAATAAGTATAAGTGGGTTTCAAGAGGTTAAATAGAAACCCCCCAATTTCACTTTAATCCGCGACAATAATTAGCGTTAGTTACATAACTTTGATCAATGACGTAATTTTATCGAAGCCGTGGTAATGCATGATGTCACGGACACCGTTGAATATCTGTTATATTATGCCCGTGATTAAAAATTTTTACAGATGATGTCATACGACTTCATAGTACTGTAAAATTATTTGTCGCATTTTTTTATTTAACGAAATCTATAATGAATGACTTAAAGATATTACAATTAGACAAAATAAATAGAGATAACTTCTTAATTAATTGAAGAAATTATCGACTTTTCAAACCCTGCTTTTATTATTGATAATAACAATTCATTAATTACCGCATTTATGGTTTCGTGTTATGCTGCTTTGCTATTTTAGGCAATTATTTGTTAAGATATTCATTAGAATGTTACGTCGGTACCTTTATTAGGAAATCCATCATTACACGGGAACAGTATCGTTTTGTATTATTTTCATTTCATGATCATGATCATGTTCATATCCTTTCGTGATTATATTGTGCTTAGGTGTTTCTTGTTGTTTGTTTACTGATCATTGATCATGATCATGCTTATGCTGCTTCATTCTATTTCGCTTTGGATAATGGTCTTATTTATATCACGAATTCGCGCATCCTGATTTGCATTATTTGTTCTTTTTATGGTTTAGTCGATCGGGCTTCTATGTCGATTTATGTCAATTGTCGATTATGTCGATTTGTTATGAAAAAAGTGTTTCTCGTATTCTATGTTGCGTACTGATACTGTATGTGAATGCTTATATGTAAGCATCTGTTTTTGTGCTGATCTGAATTGTTGTTGGTTTTGTGTCTTATTATTCTGTTTTAATTGGAGATGTTTGCTTATCTTCTGGTTTCGGTTTGACTATCAAAGAATATCGAATGAAAATCTTCATCCTATAATGATGATTATTTTAAGATTGTTTAAACTATGTTAATTCACATTGATGTAATCAGCATCATGTTTATGTATCTGTTTTGTGTTGATGAAATGTTTAACTTTGAAAATAATTGAACAATTTTCTGTTAGGAAAAGTGTTGTGTATATGCATGTGTGAAGTAATGAATGGTTAAGTTTTTTTTATGTGATTATTATTTGTGATTATAAATTTGTTATTAAAAATAAATTTATTGTTAATTATTATTTTAATTAATTATTTTAATAAAAAAAATAATTTGATGATTAATAATGGATAGTGTAAAAAAAAACAAAAAAAAACCTGTTATCAATTTTTGTGTTACTACTTTATGAAGATTTTGTTCTTTTTACAACAGTGATATACAATAGACCAAAGATGATAATTTTTATAATTTTGCTTTCATTGTGTATAATAAGATAAATAATGAATGAAGATAATAAATAAATAATGAAAAAATATATATGTTTACTAATTTGCATTGTTATAAATACTGTTTGTTTTTTTTGTTATAGAGTATTTACTTTTTTTTTCTATCACATATTTTTCACTTAAAAAAAAAAATTATTCTGTTACTATGTCCTCTATCTTTATGTCTTATTGCTTTGTCCAATTGGTTACTAGAAATGATAATTATCTAATTGGCAATGTATTATATAAAATAAATAATATAGTTGATAAATTCAAACAAATTATTTATAAAGGTTATATAAAGAGTCTGAATTCATTAATTACTGATTTTAAAAAAAATTTAATTATTTTAATAGTAAGGTGTTATATGTATGAGAATAATATAGAATATATATGTATATATTTGGTTAATTTTCATACTTATAAAATTTTAATATTTTTTTAAATCTCTTTTTTTAAGCTTACCTTAATTCAAAGTAAATCTATATCTAATAAAAATAAGAATGAACTAACTTACAAAGATCTTTTATATTCAGTATTATTATTAATTCTTTTTTCTTCTGTATTGTTAAATTCTTATTCTGATAATAATAGTAGCAGAAAAATTTTTATAATGTTTAAAAAATTTTATAATAATGTTATTAACAGTAAAAATATAAATATGAATGTGCTTGTATTTTATTCTAATAATTATAACAAGTATAATTTAATAAGAAAAAATATAAACAGAACTGTACTTTTAACTATAAAAAGATTAAAAATAGGTTCAAATAAGATCCTTCATATTATAACTTCTGAAATAAAATAAAATTATAGAAAAAACATTATTCAACACTTTTAATAATAAAACTATATGATCTCAAAATAACCTTGATGATAAACTAGATAGTATAGAAGAAAAATATACAAAAATAAAACCAAATTCAAGAAAATATATTAGAGTTAATTAATCATTCTCTTTTACTTTCACTTCTTCTTCTACTTTGTCTTTTACATTATCTTCAAAAATGTCAAAAGATGTTACTTAACTAGCAAATAATATGTTTTTGAAAACAGTTTTACAAATTAAAAATAAAATATCTATTATTTAAGAATCTAATAATGATAATACTAAGTTAATCAATCAACTGAATGGTAATCAGATTAATTAATAATAGATTACTATTTTTTCATATTTTTTTTTATTTTTATAAATTTCAAAAATTTATTATTATAATATTTTTTTTGTTTTATTATTATTTTTTTTTTTAATATATAAAATAATATTTATAGTTAACTTTGAATGCAATAAACTTCTATATAACAATTTCTATATATGACAAAAAAATTTAAATTTTTGTAATAGTTCAATATAAAAAATATTAGATTATTAAAAAAATCAATTTTTTATATTAACTTTTTTTTAGGACTGTCAGTTCATTATAGAATAAGTTAACTATATTTGTTATTATTAATTAAATACTTTTATTAAATAAATCTAAAATATTTTTTAAACTATATATTATATTGTAAATTATTTTTTTTTTGAAACAAAAAAAATTATTATTTTTAATTTATTATGATTTGTATTTAAATTATTAAAAACAAAGAAGATCTTTGAACTATATTGTTGATCTGCTTGAACTAATTATTTAATATTTATTTAGTTTTTTTTAATTAAAGATATATAATAATAAGAATGATTCTTTATAAATAAGTGATTTATCTTTAAGAAGAAAAATAAAATTAAATAGTTCCTTTTAATAACTTGAAAAAATAACTAATAACAACTTTCAAATTTCTTACTTATCTATTTTTACTATGAATTATTCTGAAATCTTTAATAATTTAACTTTTTCTTCTTTTGAAACATATTGTTACAAAGTAGATTTTAGCACAATATATTATATAATAGTATTAGTAGTTTTTTTTTTTTTTTAAATATTAAGGTGAGTACTTGCAACCCAGGATTTTATTGATAGTATATTTGACTAATGGTTGCATTACAATCACAGAGGGCAACCATGAAAAGAGTATACAACTAGCCACTCGTACAACTTTAGTTATTGTCTAATTTAAGTAGTCTGCCTGAAGGTTCTACACTAGCTGCCATACCTGGAACCCACTTGTAGGTTCCCTATTTAACCACTCTGTTTCCGTATCCACCCACCTACCTCTGCCTACCAATGACCCTGACCGATGCTAGTGAAAATATGCCATGGCCACTAAGTCTTTAAAGCAGTTTCTTTGAATCTTTGACCTTGTACTAAACCTTCCAGAATCTTCTGTATCCCATTCTTACAGCTGACCTGGTATTGTTATGGCTGAGACCAACACTGACAGTCAGGGTGTACTATTAAACCGCTTTTGCTCTTGTAGAGTTCATCCCAACCCCAGTACTGACTTCACAACATATCCTTACTACTTTGGTATTCAATTCAAGTTCTACTAAGCTGCCATTCCAGATAGCCTGAAAAGGTAGAATGAAACTATACCTCTGGTTTACATATTTGCTGGCATATATTCTTTTCCTCCAGAACCTGAAAATTTCGGCAGCCTGGTTGGTTCATCTGGTCCTTCTCCAAGGACCAGCATATTTGCCCAGTTTTACAAATTCTAGCTCTGTTTCACAAGTCTAGTTTTTATAGTAGCACCATCAAAAGTTCAAGTTACCTTTCTACTCGGGTCTTCTAAGTGGACTTCCATCTCCTTCTAGTATTAGTAGTTATATATATATACATTATTGTATTTTATATATTATATTTATTATTAGTTATTAATTATTAGTTAGTCAATAGTTATATTATCCTTTAAACAGTTTTTCAAACAAATTTGTCTAGATTTTTAAATTAAATTTAGTATTTTTTAAATAATATAATAAATTATTAATAATATAGAATACAGTTTACTTATAAAATTTTTTTTTTTTTTTTTAGTATTAAGGTGACCTCTTTGGTCTTTTGACTTTTATTAATTACTTATTGGTATTGTGGTTCAATGAACTACTACAAGAGAGTGTACAATTGGCTACATGTGTAACTTTTCTATATTACCTATTTAAAGAATCTGCCTGAAGGTTCCTTACTAATTGTCGTATCTAATATCCCTGCTTGAGTGTTCTACTTTAAACCCTCTAAATCTGTAACCTGTATTAATATTACTAGTTATCTCAGATCCCTATCATTTCCCCGACATTGATTTTTCCGACAATCACTTCCCCACCAAATTATCTTCCTGACACACTCATTTCCCTGACATTTATTTCTTCGACAAATCATTTTCCCGACACAATCCTTTTCCTGACACAATCATTTCCCCGACAAATCATTTCCCTGACACAATCATTTCCTCAACAAATCATTTCCCCGACAAATCATTTACCCGACAAATTATTTTCCTAACAAATCATTTTCCTGATAAATCATTTCCCTAACACAATTATTAAAAATTTTGTTAAAATTTTTTTTTAAAAATAAATTAATCTATATTTATTATACTGTAATATTTTTATGCCGTATTTTGACAGTACTATTTATATGTGATTTAAAGTTACGCTATATTAAAAGTTATGTATTTATCAGTACTATTTACATGTAATTTAAAGTTATGTTATATTAAAAGTTATGTTATTAATTAAAATTATGATTTTATTTAAAGTTAGGGTCAGGGTTAGAGTTGAGTTAGGGTTAGAACAATGCATTACATGTAGTAAAATTTGGCAAAGAATTTTTTTAATTAGAATCTGAAAGATGGTGAAGTTTTGAGTTATTTTTAGCCAATCTCAGCTTTAGCAACCACAATAAATAAACTATGGTATGTATATACATAATAAATCAGATTCAATATTTAAAATGACTAATTTTTTGTTTTTGCCTTTTTTTTTAAATTATAATTTATCCGATCTTTCTTGACCTAGTGGCTGGAACTTGGAATAAGACAGGAAAACTGGTCTTTACAATAAGTATCCCTCTTACCTGTTTTTTATTTTTTTTTAATTCTATTTTAAATGAAACTAATCTTTCTACTTTCTGCATCTTTGGCTTAAATCGACTGCAGATCCAAAAATAAGACAGGAAAACTTGCTATAATAAGTATCAGTTCTTTTCTCTTCTTGCTTTTTTTTTTTTAATTATAAGTTGGCTAGTTCAACATAACATTTTGGGGCACCTATATTAAATTCAGATCACAAACTATTACAAATCTTTATTGCTAATTCAGCATCAAAATTGTAACCATCGAAAGGCCTTTGACCAGTTGATATTTCTATCATAATAATCCCAAAACTGTAAATATCAGCAGCTTGAGTGAATCGTTCATCTTTCAAGACCTCAGATGCTAAATATGGTAAAACTCCATAAATATGACCTTGTTTTTCATCAAATGTTATTGATAAACCTAAATCGGTAATATAAGCTTTATTTTGTTCTTTTAATAAAATATTACCTGAATGTAAATCTCGGTGCATAAATTTCTTTGAATAAATACATAATAGGTCATAAACAATATCGCTTCACTCCAGCTTAAATATTCCTTTCATATTTTCATGCAATGATCCAAATTTCGCATAACTCATCACTAAAATAAAATCTCCAGTATTCTTATCCATTAATATGCCATAATATTTCCCAAGTTAGTGATGCACCTTTAACTAAAATTAACAAATTACCAGATCCATATTCATAACATCCAACATTATATATCGCACCAGCATGTCCCATCTCTGCAGATTCTTGATAATAAATTAATCCCTTATGTTTATTCTTTTCAACTCCAATTCTGTGATCATAACAATATCCAATATTCTTTATCGCAGCAGCGTCTCCCATTTCGGCAGATTTTTGATAATAAATAAATGCATTATCTTTATCCTGTTCAACACCATTTCCGTATTCATAACAATATCCAACTTTACACATTCCACTATTTTGGCAGATTTCTGATAATAAATGAATGCTTTATGTTCATTCATTTCAACCCATTTGCCATGCTTATAACAAAATGCAAGAATGAATTGAACCATAGGATCGAATCAATTATTTAAGCAATATTATTTGAATTTTGCTTTTTTTTTTACTAGAAATTGTTCTAAGGTGTCAAGAATTGAATTGTCATATTTGCCTTTCAAAATTTCTTCATTATACAGTTTATACATTTCTTTAATGACTTAAATCGGCAGCAGATCTAAAAATAAGACAGAAACTTGTTAAGTTTGTTTCTCTTTTCTTTTTTTTTTAATCATAAGTTACCAGAACTAACCTCATCTTTCTTGACTTAATGATAGAGCTTGAAATGAGACAGGAGAAATGGTCTTTATGATAAGTATCTCTTTTACTTTTTTTTTCCTACCTAATCCTATTTTACTAATCTTTCTACTTTTTGTATTTTTGGCTTAAATCAGCAGCAGATCTAAAAATAAGACAGGAAACTTGTTGCATAGAATTGTTAAACATTCATGCCGAATGACTCGACTCCAGAAGCTGAGTAAGTATTAGACTCAGACTCAAGTAAAAATCATGCAATAAGAAAAATATAATTAGTTTAATACAATTTGATGTATGTACATGCTTAAATATGTACTGTATATAAAATTTTACAATTTGTATAAATTAAAAACTGCTCTTGACAAAAATCAGGTTTATTGAAGTCAACTTAAAAAGCTCAACTTGAAAGCTGACTAAACCAAGCCATTTAACATTCTATCTTTATGATAATATCCCTCTTACTTTTTTCTTCTTTCTAATTTTATTTTATTTCACTTTTTCAAGTTAATTTAGTGTGTGAGTAAAAAACATCTACTTTACAGAAACCTAAATATCATAATATGCAGCAACTGACATAGTAATTGTAACTATATAATTGCTATGCAGCTACTGCTATCAAGAGATAGTGCTTTACATATTCAATTATGAGTATTTGCTATTTAATTTCACTTTATTCATGTTAATATAGTGCATGAGTATTAAAATAATTGGTTTTTAAGTATTTAAAATAAACTATCCAGATTATGAATATATGAGAGTAATGCAATTGGAAAATGTGTACCAGGTTGATGGCGCAGACAAAATTCTTAAAATTCGTTAAGATTAGGGTTAGGGTCAGGGTTAAGAACTAGAGGATAATAGTTTTAATAGTAAAATTGTCCAACGAAAACTTTTTGTTAGAGCACAAAACAGAGCGAACACGAATGTTTGTTTTGAATCTTCTTGATTATGTTATGTTACACCTAATCTTGAAAGCTGATTCGTAGATCAGAAGAACTATGTCACCAACCTGGTACACATTTTCCGAAAACAATCTATTACTAAAGCCTAAAAGTGTTTAAAATAGAGTTGGTCACCGAAACTTTTTTGGCCAAATCCAAAAGTTTCGGGTTTTGGATTATAGTTTCCAAAACCTCAACTGAAACCCCAAAACCTCATCTGAAACCCAAAACCTTACCCCAAATCCCGAAACCCTATTGGTATAATAAATTTCTATAAAATCAATAACAATAAATTAGAGATATAATCTAAACTATTTTTTATATATACAAATCCGGGTTAAATCAGTTTTTATAATACAAAATAGTTATAGATGTATCTTTACAATAAATATATAAAGTGGATTAACTAACCTGGCCTCTAAATTGTAAATACTATAATAACTTTGATCCAGATTTAATAATTTATATCTGAATTTAATTATTAAATCCAGATTTATAGCTGTTATCATTATTTCTGGAACATCTTATGAAAAATTAACTGAATGGGTATTCTGCCGATTCGATAGATTATTGATTTTGGCATGATCAATGTAGACTGGGATAAAATTACCACCCATAAAAGTTTCGAAAATCATATGATATTGTTAGTTTATGATTAGATCATGATAATAATATTTATCAAAATATTAACTAATTTAGTAAGTGTTTTTTTTTTCTTCTATTATTTAAAGTAAAAAGTGATCATTAAAAGCATGAAATCCAATGAACACACTATTCTAAAAATATATGTTAATTGTCGTAACCAAATCCCTATTAACAATAAACGCAAAAAGAATGAAATTCGAAATGAATTATAAAAACTAATCAAGAAAATGCGAATGAACCAGGAAATCTTGTAGATTTAATTTTTAATGCGCTTCCGGAAGATTATAACTCTGATTATTTATTTGAATCCAGGATGCAGCAACAAAAAATTATTGAAGAAAACAATAGTAACAAATGGCTCGGTAGTATTAATAAAAACTTTGTGCTATTGTACAAATTGGAGGATTATAAAAACTGTAATTATAATACTCTCTGGCTATACTAAAATATTCCATTTATTGAGCTATTTGAAATAAATAGAATGATTAATTTATTATTACTTTGTTAGTTTAAATTTTTTGTTTGTATTTTTTAAGTTATAATTTTTTCAAAAATTTAGATTATAGTTTCGGGGTTTCGAATTATAGTTTCAGAATTTCGGGTTTCGGAGTTTCGGATTAGAGTCTCCCAAAACTAGTTTCGGGTAGGTTTCATTTCGAGTGCCAACTCTAGTTTAAAATAAGCTTTTTATAAGTATTTACTATTTAATTTCGTTTGTTCATATTAGTTTAGTGCCAAATTACATAATTAGTGAATAATCGATGACTTACATACAGAAAATCTTTAATTTATCAATATAACAAATATTATACATTAATTTAATAATACGTATGTATGTAAAATTATTAATATATTGATAAATTAATTTAATTCTGCATCCATACCCTATGACCATATAAAGATTTTTAATGATAAATTCGATTCATTATTATTAAAAAACTAATATAAAGCGAAAGCATTCAAAAAGTATATATATGATATTAGTAAAAGCCAGACTAATTAATAAATCCAATTTTTAAAAATCATATTACTGCTTATTTGTCTTTTTTTCAATGGAACATTATACTTGTGAAATTATTCCTTCAATCTGTGGAAACTCCACGATCAACGTTCATGGTTTTATTATGGTAAAAGATAAAAACAGAAGAGATCTATATTATTGGTGTTGTGAGAAGTGTGATACTTTTTATTATAATGGGCATGCTACTACTATACTAGTTAGAGATGAACATATTTTGCGACAAATAGGAGGACATAATCATTCTGCTGATTCAAGTCAAGCTGGTGTCAGAAAATTAACTAATTAAATAAAAGAACAAGCAAACAAACTCTTAGTCCTTCATCGCAAATTATTCAATCTGTTATCACAATTAACTTCCAAAATATTTATCCCTATATCCCATCTTATGATGCACTCTGCCAAACAATTCGAAGAATTCGATGTTCAGGCTTTCCTTCTGGATCAAATTCATTAGATGAATTTGTCATTCCTGATGACTTAAAAAAGACTTTCGATGGCTCTGACTTCTTAATTAAAGATTCGACTATTGGTAGTGAAAGAATTTTACTTTTTACTACAGCTTCAAATATTCGATATTTAAGCCAATCTTTAGTTTGGTTAATGGATGGAACCTTTGATACTGTGTCAACTATTTTTCAACAATTATATACGATCCATGGGTTTGTTGGGGGAAATAGTAATTCCTGAATCCTGCCTCTTGTAAATGTCTTGATGTCTAGTAAGTCAGAAAGTTGTTATAACAGACTGTTTCAAGACTTGATAGACTTTAGCGAAGATCACGATATTTATTTACAACCTGAATTCGTTTTGATGGATTTTGAGCTCGCTTCTATAAATGCATTACAACAAGGTATTTATTATATTATTTAATAATATATACTGGTGTTTTATTATTAACCAACAACTTGGTAGTCCCATCACTATGTGTATGTACTACGTAGAACTTTTAAAACACCCAGTATTAGCTAATCCATATACATGCATATATATACATTTATTTATTTTATATTTAGAATTTCCTAGTACCTGAAGCAAGGAATGTTTCTTTCATTTGTCTCAAAGTGTTTATCGAAGAATTCAAGCTGCTCACCTAGTTGATCGGTATGGAAATGATGAAGATTTTAGTATAGAAATTTGCAAAATTCCCGCACTTGCTTTCCTGCCTCCAGGTGAAATCCCTAATGCTTTTGGTGAGTTAAAAGGCAATATTCCAGAGGAAGCAAATTCAATTGTTGAGTGGTTTGAAGAGAACTATATTCGCTGCCATGTAAAACGAGTATCCAGAAATGGGCATGTGACTTGGAGAGACCCATTATTTCCACCTTCTCTCTGGTCAGTTTACAAGAATAATGAATATGATTTTCCTAGAACTAATAATTCTGTTGAAGCCTGGCATAGAAGGTGGGCAACTCTAATTGGCTCGAAAAATTTAAATATCTTTAAATTTATACAAGAGATTCAAAAAGAACAACATCAAGTCCAACTCGATGTAGAAGCTATTTTAAGAGGGCCACCAAGGCCTTTTCAAGAAAAACAAAATAAAACACATGAATTATGAATTCAAGCGGTCTTAGATGATCGTGATAGTACGCCACTA